ACTAATTATGATTTTTTAGAACCCAAATCTTAAAATTCTAAACCCTAAAAAATCTTTTGACCCCTAAAACCCCTTAAACCCTCAAAACTAAACCATAATACAACATAGTTAACCCAAACATAAATGATATAATGAATAAATAATTTTGAAAAAGTGACATTTTTGCAAAGATTGTAAAAATATGGCATTTTTGTAAAGTGATATTTTTTTAAATTTCTCAACATCTAAATTTCTATAGATTTCATGAATTAATTCCGGTTTTGGTATTCCAATATTTTTTGACTTTTTCAAATTCATCTAGAATAAAGATATTAATTCAATCTCTCTAAATATAAAAATAATGTAAAGCATAGATAATTAAAATATAAGAAGCATGAATCAAATTGCAATTTCTTTCCTTTTGAATTACTTATGTGAACACAAACAAATCTTTAATAATGAAAACAAAAATTAGTAAAAAAACAAATAATTTTAAATGTTAATGTAAGGTTGGAAAGAAAAAAAAGGACAGTGGTTGAGAAAAAAGAGAAGAATGTGGTTTGTCCCAAGAGACAGCCAATTTGCCAGCTGTAAAATCTCACACAATTGTTGTATAAATAGACAAATACCATCCCCACAACTTATATCATCACAACACACACACAAACCCCAAAACAACAAAACCTTTCTTTGTTTCAAAACTTTTTTTTCTTCCAAAACATCAAAGAGAAGTAATGGAGTCAATGAAGATGATGGTTGTTCTTATGGTTGTCGCGGTGGCTTTCTCAGCCGTGGGACAAGCGGCGGCTGCTACCGTGGAAGCTCCGGCTCCAAGCCCAACTTCTGATGCTACAATGTTTGTACCAGCATTGTTTGCATCTGTTGTTGCTTTGGCTTCTGGTTTACTCTTTTGAGCCAAATATAAAAAAAACACACGTTTTATCATTCTTTTACTTTCTCCATTAATTTTATTTGTATTTGTTGATGAGTTTGGTTCTGTTGTTTAGAATGTTGTTGTAACCATCTGTTTCTCTATGTGCTTGCTTGTATGTATCTATCATTCATCACTGTTTATGGATTCGTTTATCTTACAATCTCTAAGTTTGGTAGATGTTGTCTTTGTTTAATCTAAAAGATATACATGAAAACCATCACATGACCTGTAACTTGAATTAACAAAAAATTATCAGATTTCATTGATTTGGGTTCACACAAAAGATTTCAATAAGAGAGAGGATACTTTGATATTGTCTAAAAGGTTGGTGGAATCAATGATGTGATGAGCTGTATTTGGATGGTTTGTGTGGGGGCACTATGATGGACCAACAACATCATCATCATGATGGTGTTATATATGGTGCCAAAAGGCAACATGAGTTTCCATGTGACTACCTTATAAGAGAAAGGTAAGAAGATGACCCCACACAATAAATGAAATCTCATGAACGAATTTGACAACTTAATTTGCATTCATCAATGTGTAACTCAGAGATGGTATGTGGCAATTTTTCATACCAAACCAACCACTCACTAAGCTTCTATTTATTTTTCTCATCTAATCACTTTACTATGTGCTTATTATACATATGTAATAGAATACACAAAAGGGTATGATTCGGTGTGTGGGACGTATCAGACAAAGCCATGTGAATTGTGATGCATAGAAGAAAGTTGCCAGGAGCAAGAATGGGACCATACCTAAGCATTTAAGTTCTCATGCTTTGCCTGAAAAGAGAAACAAACACCTTTGTAAATAGCCGCCGCTTTTACCATCCAATTACTTGTTCTTACTCTCCCTGATATTCACAAGTTCTTTTATGAAGCAAAATCTAAAGATAAATAGTTTCTTACCACATAAGAAACAAGAGGAAACTCCAGTGATGTAGAGAGGTCTCTTATAAACATCTGAGGAAGTTGCAATCTGTAGGCTGACAACAGATAGCATCAAGGAAGACAGAAGAGAGACTTTTCGGAATCTAGTTTATTGTTGGAATCTTCAGCTGCACAAACTCATACAAAAGTCAGGATTCATTATGCAACTGATCCAAGAGATAAACCGTGTTATATCTCTAGCAGTATGCAGGCAAGTAATTGTTCAGCCAAAAAAGACACCAGAGTTCTACAAGAAAACCAATATAAATGTACTCCCAAATGTACAGAGGAATGATAAATAATGTTACAAGAGGGTAATAAACAACTAACCTATGCACCTAAATCAGAACCAAGCAGAGCAAGCCGCAAATGCTAATTTTTACAGATTTCATAAGCATCAGATAAAAACCTGGACTACATCTACTAGATCTACACCATTTCTTCCTACTTCTTTATAATGTATAGCACAGGTGAACTAGCCCGAGAAACCTCAGTTCCTTAAATATGACAGACTACTCGGGAGGTGCAGGATGAAGTTCGCAGAAAGGTTGGTCTCATCTTCTGATTGCGAACTTTAGTGATCTCTATGCTCCTGCACTGTTTCAATTTCCTGACTTATCTGGTAGCCTGGAGAGTTCTTTGTCCGCGAAATGAAGAAGACGTCTCAATCTCAGAACCATATCACAGTGAAACGGCAATGCCGTCCGCCTGTCCAGATATGCTGGACTAACAGTCATATACGATAGAGCATGGAGTTCTGCGGCAATTGACTCAAGGATAAGATGGCTTTCAACCTCAAAATCTCTAGTTTCTTTGGTCCCTCCGCCTTGCTTCATGACTCCTTGAAGAATTTTGTCATGAGCGTTGTCATAACCACCGTAATAGTCTATGAGACTTACAGAGAGAACTGATGGCCATTCATCCTTCATGTTTAATCTCGAGTCTTTTCTCATGGAAGGCACGGCTTTTGAAGCAACAAATCCGGTAGACAAAGGGATTGCAGAGCCTTTGCTGTGTAGGAGGTGAGCAAGCGGAGGTGATTCGGCAGTTAAACATGTAAGAAGCTGAAGAGGACTTGGGTGGAGAAAGCGCATGTTGGGTGATGGTATCATCAAGTAAGAGAAAGCCGTTGACCCAAGAGACTTGACAGGAGTGAAACCTTCAATGTAATTTACAGAACTCATACCAGTACTGCTCAGGCCACCTCCTGCATAATTGCGCAAAATAAACATGCAAGTCAGTATCTGTGGCAATTTAAAATTGATCACACGGGACATATAAATGAGTGAACTGGGGAGAACAAAAGAAAACAAATCAGAAAACTGACCAGAAGATACCAACTCAGCCGGAAGAACAAGATGCATAGAATGATCAAGTGAGATAGAAGTAAAACTGATGCTGTGAACCCACTGGAACAATCCCCTTGGAGAACCAGCAATGGATTGCCCACCCATTATCTGCTTTCTTCCAGTAGATTGCCCCATACTGCCTTTCACAAAGGTGGATGGTTTTGCATGAGAGCTGTACAGTGTGTTTGTCGAAGAGGTTCTCTCTTGAATCAAGCTCAGATCCTGATTTTGCAAGGAAGATCCATTGCTACTGGTGGCTATGCCAGAAGGCGCAGAACGTCGAAGTTGAATAGGCCACTTTTTAATCTCAGGACCTCCAGCTGAGTAAATTGCCTTTTGCCACTCTGTAATACCAGTCGCAAGCAGAGAACAATATCAGTACTAGATAATTCTATCCCATGCGCGTTTGGAATAAGAATGGGATGTATATCAGATTAAGAACAAGATATAAAGGGTAAAAGAGAGGTATAAATTTACCTAGGTATTCAAGCTCGAAGAAATTCCCAATGCGTGTAATGACAAAATCCCTAGGTTTGAAAGATCCATTGTCAGTGGAGGAACACGCCTGAAGTATTTGACATCCCTGCTGCAGAAGTTGAACAAAAAGACACTGCAATCCTTTCGTATCTTGTCTACTGCTAATTCCACCAAAGGGAAATATATGTGTGTCAAGCAATTCACCCCTGGCATCCGTCCAGATGCTTACAAGCCATCTCCAGTCCTCTGACCAACCGTAGCAGCAATGTAAACTTGGATTAGCCTTTCCTTCAAGCTGGGATGCATCCCCCTGGGAACTTGACCCGGATGTTATACCTTCCATTGAATTCACGCCAGGTCCAGAACCTCTGCCACCACCATCCTCAGTTACTGGTTTTGAAGATTCGGATCCCAAGCCGCTGAAATTAGGTGAAACTCCACGCTCCACGGAACCAGGTTCGGAAAGAATGAAAAGTGGTTCAAATAAATAGAAAATTTCATCAAGGTAAAAATCTCCATTTCTGTTTGGGTCGCCACTTAATCCTCCAGATCTAGCTATTTGCCAGGAACTATCCCAACCACCCGTTCTCATGCTACCATCAATTTCACCATCTCTTGGATGTGTAGAACCTGTCATTCGAGAACCAACACAGTCTTTCCAGATTCCTGAAATAGAGCTCATCGGTGTCAAGGCTGAAGAGGATCTGCTTGATAAAGATGATGAGAGAAATGTATTATTAGACATTCCTCGTGAAATTCTCCGAGCTTTATTGTATACAGAAAAAGCAGTATCCTTGAGAATGACAAGCTCATTAAAGCTTGGACTTGTTATCCGGAAAATAGAATCAACAGACACCACTTGTAGAACTAGTTTAGAGACACTAAACCCAGAAAGCACTGGAATGTGAGATATTGATGTTTCGTCTACAGCAGCAGAACTACCAAACGCTCTTGCAACCTGACTGTTAAGTATCGATCTCCTGTCGCTATTTGACTGTATTCCTGATCCAAGTGCTATAGATGATTCAACGATCGTCCTTAAAACTGCTGAAGGGTCAGGAAACGGACACACTATGTACACTACCTGAAAGAAAATAATAAGCCAAGAAGTATCAGCAGATATACTTGGTAGAAGTGGGCAAAGACATTGCTTATCTCAGTTAAACATTTGTAATTCTAACTCATACTTACCATGCAAGGACTACCAGATCCTTCTTTCTGGTTTGTGTTAAGGCCCGACCCAAGCTTTAGACCTTTCAGCGCTTTTGATAAAGACTTCAGATAGCTACTCACATTCCACCCATTTGACAAAGACAGAAAATAATCGCTGAGAGATCCCAGAAGCGATGTGTTATTGCTTTCAATCTTCATCGACTGAGGGCAATCAAGCAGAACAAATCCAGATGAGGATAATTTTCCAGCGTCTGTCTCCATTGGACTTCCCAGGCTCTGTGGCAAATGGGTTCCCAGCCTGCACGTCTCATAAACTATGCAACAAAAGGTACATACATCAGAAGAAAATGATGAGAAAATGTCAGAAAATTAGTTCCTCTGGACTCGTTATTTTAACCGAAATCAGTTCCTATCATCTTTGAGTATAACCTCTTTCACAATTGATAAATTCGTTGACTCACCAGTTCCAAGTTGCTGGAAGAAATCAGCAGCAGCGTTGGTTAAAGGATCTATATCCGGGCATACAACAGTATAGTTAATCTGCGAAAAGTAAAAAAAAACAACCATAGGTATCTCAGTGGAGAAGATTATGAATTGGCCAAATTTGCAGGAAAACAAAAGCATATGTCCCAACGAGTTCCTTAAAAACTCACACTTTTCGGCAGAGCATATGGCTCAAAAGGGGCCTTTTCCCAATGTGGCAAAGAATTTGTTGATATCTTAAGCCAGTCATCTTGGTACCTGTCACAGGGAAAGATGCATACGTAACGAGAGCAATAATCATCAGTAATATAGTATGTAATAAAATTCTTCAGATATCCTAACAAAAGGAAATCATGAATACTTCAGGCAATAACCCGAACCAAGGGCATATTGATCAAGACCAAATTCTATTTAAAAAAAACTTTTAACACATCTAGATACATACCCGACAAGTATAGAAGGTGATGGAAGAACAAAAAGTGTAGGTCGGAGTAATTCTGAGCTGTATATGTCTTGGCTCTGAGCCGTCTCCTCTCCTTTCCCACCGTCTATTGCATTTG